TCATTAAATAAACCTCATCCAAAGCTCATAACGCTTAATTTGAACCAAGTGAAGAGTTTAACAACTTATTCAAAAAAGCTGATTCATTAAATATACCTTATCTGAAGCTAATAATACCTAATTTAAACAAGTAAAAAGTTAAACAACTTATTCAAAAAGAAAAAAGCTGATTCATTAAATACACCTTACCCAAAGCTAATGACACCTAATTTGAACAAGTGGAAAGTTGAACAACTTATTGAAAAAAAAGCTGATTCATTAAATATGCCTTACTCGAAGCTCATAATGTCTAATTCGAACAAAGTAGAGAGTTAAACAACTTATTCAAAAAAAAAACAAAAAAGCTGATTCATTAAATAGGCCTCACCCGACACGTAATTTGAACCAAGTAGAAAGTTGAACAACTTATTCAAAAAAAAAAGCTGATTCATTAAATAGCCTTACCCAAAGCTAATGATGCCTAATTCAAACTATGTGGAAAGTGTGAATGACTTATTGAAAAAAAGCTGATTCATTAAATAGGCCTCACCCGAAGCTAATGATGTCTAATTTGAACCAAGTAGAAAGTTGAACAACTTATTCAAAAAAAAAGCTCCAGTCGTGATATATACTTTACCCGAAGCTACTGATCTGAACAAAGTGGAAAAAGTGAACGACTTATTCAAAAAAAAAAAACTAAATTTGTGAAATAAGCCTTTCCCGAAACAAATGATGCTCATAATTTGAGCCAAGTGAAGATTGTGAACGACTTATTTAGCAGTAGACATCACGATCATAAAACGTATTTAATATGTGACTTTCTGTGTGATTATGTGATATCGTCGGAGTTTGCCCACCTATACTATAGAAGAACCGTAAGGAATTTTAAACCCTATGTGCCCACCTATACTATAGATCACCCAAAATGGATACTAGGCAAAAATAAGCATATTAAAGCAATACGAAAGAAGAAATTTCTATGTGGAAATAGACTTCGACTACTATATTATTTTGAAGTACCATAAAAGTGCATATATAAGACCCACCGTTAATCAGACCCGGGGCTATAATATAGATAAAAATTTTGGTAAAATGAAACAAACCCGGGTATATTATAAGAAACAATGATTAAAATACCCGGGTATAATATTAGAACATAATATATATTACATAAATTTAATAAGTTTTGGATTTCTCCCACATAAAAGCCTCCCCT